ATCTGAGCTGTTGTCATTGTTCTTCCCATCAACAGTCATGATTGCTGGTATTTTATAAGCCATTTTAAATGAGCAACTCAGCATCTCTGAACATCACATATCCCCTATTGCAGTTAATACTTGTTTGGATTCCTCTGCTAAACCAAGTCACCTCTTCCCTCCTCTTCTAAAATGACAGAGTAAGACCTCTGAGATGTAAAGTGAGAGTTTATTTGGAAGGGAAAGGACTCTTTTTGGTTAAGAAGCTGCTCCTGTTTTGCTGTCCATCAAAGGAGAGGGTTCTTGGATAAAAGAATCTGACTCATCTGGTTACCCCTGCTTTGAGATGGGTGGCAGCAGAGCATCACATCAAAAATGAACTTGTCATTCACTTTCCAGCCAGGTGCTATGATAGCAAGCAGATCCAGGAAATATTTAGTCTTTTATTGGGAAATATGCTACCAGGTAGGGTATCTTACTCTACTTTTATTCCCATCTTTTCCTAATGGCTGCTACACCAACACTGAAGCCTGTGCCATGGTGTCAGAGAGGTGCTTCCCATCTGCCTTACCGAACAGCCAGAGCCATGCTGGCTTGCGGCTGGCACTCGATTCTGGGGCCAAAGCTGGTGGTGGCTTCTGTTGCAACCACAGTTTCCTTTCTGTGTTCAAACTCAATTAATCTAGACCATCTGTAGGAGGATGGAGAGATTTCTACAAGAGCAGGCATAGAAGTTTTGCAGCAGCTAAGCTGGTCGTCACCCCCAGGCTAAGGGGCTGCAGTGGTGGCATGGGATAAGAAAACCTTCTGGGAGTAACACAGAGGCTGAGCTAGCACACAGAGGTGGTATTCTGGTGCCAGTGAATACATCTGGCTGTAGGAGCTGTAGACATGGCCATGCTGTTTGCCTTACAGCAAGATTCTTTTTGGTTGTGGCATTTGCCACAGCGTTTCCATTTATCATAGGGCTTCAGTGGAGCATCACTTCCCATGGGGCTCCAAGTAGTTTGGAGGAGTGGAAGTCTGCATTATTCTGATGGGCTGGTCATTTTTAGGCTGACAGTGTCTTCAGCTATATGACATGGATTTGCATGGATTTTTTTCCCAACTGAAGCAAGATAAACCAGCAGAAACCATAACTTCAGAGAGTAAATACAAATACTGCTGTGGTGGCAATGGCAGCAGGCGCAGCTAAAGGGGAAGCATGAATGATGTGATGCAGTGTCTCATGGAGACTCCCCAGCACCCATGGGCTGCCTGGGGCTGCTGTGGCCACTGCAGGCTGACCCTGACAACCACCATCAAAACATAAGAAGACAAACCAGAAGGCTTCTCCTACAGCAACATTTTCCCTGTGTTCTTTAACTTGAGTAGTGACTAAGATGCCTGTGCGTTTGCACTAATGCCACACGGGTCTTCTTTCCTGCAGCACACAGTCCTGACTGGGTGCATGGAACATGATGTGTGGCACAGCTCCTGCACCCAAACCCAAACAACAGTCAGTTGTATCTGGTTTGCTGTAAGGTATTTCTTTCTCACAGGAAAGACCACAAGAGAGCCCACATGGAGAGACATCACTAAGACTGCTATTAGTGTCCAGGTGAAACTCAACTGGAGGGTTGCTGCAAGGTAGCAGTCAGGGCTGCTGAAGACTACAGCACTAGGGTGGATTTTGGATGGGTTCTTAGCAAACAGATCAGACCTCCCTGCCCTCTGTCTCCTACCCAGCACCTTGGGAACACCCCTGAGGCCCTGGGTCAGGCATCACTTTCACACACTTAACCAAGGACCATTTTACCCCAGCTGGCTTGCTCTCCTCCTGCAGGACAGCTACTCCACAGCCCCAACACCCTGCTAGCAAACTCCCTTCAGCCCAAGGCACAGCTTGTAAATATTGCTTTCATATTCCTGTGCTTTGTGCAAGGTGAGACAATCCTCCTTTTTCCCTGGCCATTTCCTCACAGGGTTATCTGTACATAGCAAATGTATCCCTTCTATGACTTTGATTTATGAGGCTGAGCCCAGCTCTCTTGCACTGCTCCTCCTGCCACCTTTGCAGCCTCTCTGCACCTCTTTCTGCTTGAGTTCAGCACTTTCAAGTGCAGGTGACCTTTAACGTCTGTGGTTTTTTTACCTCCTCTTGCTGTTTATCACATTTTCTTCTTTGTTATCCTTCTCACATGAACTTCAAAGGGCTGCTTGTTGGCTTGGCAGAAAATCCGTATTTGCCTGTGTGGCCATTATGTAACTGAGAATGAGGTGAACACTACTCACAGACTGAAAAATTATTAGGAAGGATACAGTTAATTACAGCCTGGCTCATAGCTGCTGCTAGAGAAAATCAGAAATGCACACCTCTTATCCTCCTGCCACCAGATATCCTCCTCTGAGCTTTCAAGGGAAATTTAGCATACCTACAACTTTCAGCACCCCACATCTTTGAACACACTGGTGGTTATTTACCCTCCTCCAGCCCAGCAGTGCTCTGTCTGCCCATGCTCCCCTCAAATTACCTGTTGGAGAGCAAGTAGGGCTCAGCATGGGGAAAAAAAAATAAAATCTGCCTCTGTTTTTACCCTGTCCCCTAGCCCAGGCATCTCTCATTAGTTTTCATCATCACAATTATTGTCCTTTCAGTCAACAATTCCCAAGTCCACCCCTGTGCTGTGGGCCTCCCATCCACCCTCATACCTGCTGGTCAGGGACAGCACCTTTCCAAAGGCATGCTTGTCATCTCCTAAATCTGTCTGCTTCCTTCCTTTCACTGCCTTTGACAAACGACATCCTCCATTGCCTTTAATGAATTTTCTTCCTCTGTTGAGAAAAGCTCAGGGAACAGCTATGTGTCAGGAACACCAACTAACCCAGAAGCAGCACAGGCATGTAAACCTTTCTAAAAGCCAGGTAGGCCCAGGAACTCAAACAAAATCATTCAGGTTGGAAAAGACCCTTGGGATCATTGATTCCAACCATCAGACCTACCATATATCACTTCACAAAACACAGCAAATCTGCTCTTGGAAATGTTACATCAGACTCTGTAATTCCACTCTCTCCCTCCAAAACACTGGCATCACCACAATTTTTTCTCTGTCTCCTTATTACCAGGCTGTTACCCATATGCCTGCACAGTCCTCTCTGGTCTGCCCAGGGTACAGCAGCCGGCCATCCTCCAACCACAGCAGTCACCAGGCCTGTTCACTTGTTTCTCATCTTTTTATCACTTGAATTCAGACTCTTTTCCTTGCCTTTAAGGTCCTCTGCATCTTCTTACTTGCTCAAGCTTTCTCCAACACATGCAGCATTTCTTCTGATGTTTCCCTGCCACACTCTTCCAGCTTCATGCCTCATTTTGCCTGACCATGCAGAATTGCAGGTGGTGAAAATAAACAACTGGAAGATTTCTAAATTTAAAAATATATTTTTTGAATGAATTTTTTTTTTTCAAAATCATAATACATGGAACAGAAAATCAGAAAAAATACAAGATTTTTTTTTCATTTAGGAAAATGCAAATATATTTCGTTCTTTTATCGGCTTCATGTCAAACTATGCTTTAATTTTTTTGTATGTGCTAATAACTTATTAGCCAAACTAATGCAAAAAGCATCCAAAGGGAAGCATCTTTAATTGATTGATGTTTTGATCATAAGAAGAAATAAAGCTGAGCTTATTGATTTCTAAACAAAAAAGTTAATAGAATGGAGTTACATTACATTGTACTATATGTCTGTAACAGCAGGACATACTATTGACATATTATTAATTCTATAATTAATATATAGAGAGTAGAATAAAATAAATTTCTATTGCCACAGTGTTCAGAAGTTAATTCTGAAAAAAAACACCAATCAACCAACCAACCAACCAAAAAAAAAAAAAAAAAAAAAAAAAAAAAAGGACCTGGTCTCTCTTATGTAATAAGACCAACTGGGTACTTGGCAGCAGAGTGATGCCACGGTCATCGATAGCATTTTGAATATCTCAGGAACAAGTCTTTTATTTCTGACTGTGCTGCTGACTAGTGCCAGTTCCTTCATTGTGTTACTTCTTTTTTTAACCCAGACCATTTTCTCACTTTTTTTCTGTCTGCTTTCAGTGTTTAGCTCTACTCTTCTTTGGGACTCTCTTCACTATTCGTTTATGCAGCAGCCAGCAAGCTGGAAAGCTACTTTGGATTGGAACTCCTAGCTCCTACCAAAGAACAGGTTAATAACTTTAATAACAGTCATGCTTTGGATCTGCCACATACTTGTTTGGGGCTCTTGGGCAAATCTCTTGTGCTCCTATAAATCAGGAAAATGGTGCTTGTTGATATTAATGGATAAAAAGCATATAATTTGGCTAAATTATAAAGCACCACAGTTTACAGTATTACAGAAACCGGAAATAATGTAAAATTATTGAAAGAAATAAAAAATTTCAAGGCTCTCCTTGTTTCAATGTTTTGTATCCAAAATATGTCCCTGTATGCTAAATGGACTAAAATACACTTAAAATAACACCAAGGTAGGAAAGAAACTCTGAAATATCTCCACTTGAATAAAAGCTGCTTTAAAAAATGTTTGCAAAGAGGTGTCAGTAGCTGTAAGTTCTTATTTTGCTCAGAAACTTAATAAATTGCTAATGGGAACAGACATAACAGACTGCCGTATACAAGATGAAATTAGCTGAAGGAAATGAAAAACCGATAGTGCGACTCGGAAATTATATATCAGCTTCTGTAAAAAGTTGCAAATATATTATGGTGTGTTCTGTGATGGAGCCATGTGAGCTTTTAATTTTTTCACTTAAATCAGGGGTGACTGTGAAGAAGGGGGGTTTAGCAAACACATTAAAAGAACACCGTTCATGTACAACCTTTACTGTCTTCACAAAGAGCTGTATTTTATTCTTGTTTCACAGAATGTGTTTGTAAGCCCTCTCACCTCTTTTCCTGTTTACCGCCACTACAAAATCTTCTATTTGCCTCAAAACCTATTCTGGAACTGTCAGCTGCCCATTCAACACCTGCATACTGCCAAACTCAACCATCGCCACAAGTGATGGAGTAAACCTGGAAACTCCTGAGCCCGAGAGAGAGGACAAAGACACAATAGAGGGAGGAGGGGATCGGGGCCACCTGGGAGAATAAAGGCTTCTTGCTGTTAAAGGTAAAGTCCATCCAATTTATGTGCTTCTCTTAAAATTAATAGGCATTAATTTTGCCAGCCAGGGGAAAGGGACCTGCAGCAGTTATTTCTCTCTTGATACCCTCCAGAAAACTGCTTTTTCAGTTTGACTGTTTTGCCAACTGATGTGGAGAGGGGAGAAAATGGAAAATGCTGTGCCTTGGCCCGAAGCTGTCAAAGATATTAATGGTGTAAAGGTGTTCTGAAAGTCTGAAGTGGAGCATCTCTAGGTTGTGTTCAGCCCAGGAAAGACTTTTGAATTTTGCCAAAATCTGATACATCATATCTATAAATCTATATCTATATATCTGTATCTATCTCTGTATTTATATAATTGTATAAGGCAGTTTTCTTTTTTTAAAAAAAAAAACTTTTAAACTTTTGATTGTTGAGTATACAGACTGCTTTTAAGGGGTCCCTGACAGGCAATTAAGAAAAGCAAGCCCTTGCTGCAGTGCTTACAGTCACAGTGTGTCAGCATTCGCAGGACATATTTTCTAACCATACCTGCCTCTGAATGAACAGCCATTATCTACTGACTGAACAGCTCAATATTTAGGGGGTTTATGAATGAAAAGAAATTTGAAATCAGTAACGCAGGTGTCCTACCTACAGCTGAAAGCTCATTATAAGAAATAATTACACTATCAACGTAGATTACAACAATGCTTTTCTCTCATTCTCATTATTTTTGAACAAGGAGCTCCGTAGGGTTGAGAGCTGTATTTATAACAGGTTTCTCTGCATTGCACATGCCAATTGGCTTTTGTGGAATCCGTCCTGATGCCCCAAGAGAAGCTGAGGTAGCTCAGTAAACATGAGCAGCATCCATACCTGGAGCAGAGGACAAACACCAACTCCAGCACCCCTATGTGCTGTGTGTACGGATCCTCCTGTTTCCCTGCACAAGGTGGCACAGCTGGGCAAGAAGGGGTGAATTCTCATTCCTTCCTTGTCAATATGGAAATTTTCACTGTTCTCTCTCTTCTTGCATATGTGAGCAGCAATTTGTGACTCAAGAGAGCATGTCCTCTACTTTTAATGAATTAATCACTCCTTCAATATTATTGCTCCAGCTTAATAGCAATGATTATTACAAATGTTTCTTCCCTCATGGAAACTCTATGTCTCTGAAGCTCTTTGAAGATGTGATCAACTTGTATGCCAGAATAACATAGGAGCAGTGCACAATAAACATGCAAATGTCTTAGCAGTGACAAGGCAAACTCCTTTGAAATAGTGTCTTTTGAAAGAACCATTACTTCTTAAAATGTGAACACTTAACTCTGCAAACCAGATCTCCTTTCATAGGGATCATGAGGTGACATCTGGGGAAAAAAAAAAAAATGTGGCTAAAGCACTGACTCACTTTTGGAGAGCAGGTCAGACTATTTGAAAGCTGTTTTAATTGCAGTTCTTCAGAAATGACAGAGAGGAAACACACCCCCAGATTGCTTTGGTTTTCTCTAAACTAGAAAACTGAAGTTGGGCAGAACAGGCAGGAGCAATAAACTGCCGTATTTTAGAAGTAGGCACAACCAAGCTGCTCAGTGGCAGCCTTGCTCGGCAGAGCTTGGCACTGCAAGTGTAGCCCTGCAAACTCCTTGCTGCTGCAGAGGTTTTTTTATGTGATCCTGCACCCATCCATGGAATACTAACTTACATGCCTCTGCACTCCATGCCAGTATCTAGCCCAGATCAACTCAGCTAAAAATGTGGTTATGCTGCTGGGTGATGGCTTCTTCAGTTGAGACACTTTTCTAGGAGTCTTTATGCTACAGGCAAAAAGCTTCCCCACCCCAGGGAGCACAAGAAAATCCAGATTCTTAGATCAGATGCAGGTTTTGTACCATTTTGTGCCGTTATGACTATTCAGAGAATGAATTTTTCACTGTCACTATAATGATGAGGGGCTAACTCACTGGCACTGAGGCAGATTCAGGGAAACTGAGAGCATCCCACTGCTCATACATACGCATGTACAGGAACTATTGGCCAGGCTGCATGTGCAGCCTTTTGGGTGGTACAGCCGATCTTGTCCAGCCAGTGAGACCGAGACTGCATTCTGCAGTCCCTCTCTGCCTGGAGGTTGACCGATGGGTTTGATGTGGCACAAAAAGAGGCGGAAGCCACTCTGGTAGACCCATGGCAGGAGAACCAGCCATTAATCCCTTGCTCTTTCCTGAACAGGTATCTGAGATGAATCCCACAAGCCAGTTCCTTGGCACCACAGAATATGACTATGGATATGATGAAAACACTGCTCCGTGCAATGAAGGAGACAGCTTTCACAGGTTCAAATCCCTCTTTCTGCCAATTCTTTACTGCCTTGTGTTTGTCTTTTGCCTTCTGGGAAACTCCTTGGTTCTTTGGGTTCTCCTGACCAGGAAAAGGCTAACAACGATGACTGACATCTGCCTCCTGAACCTCGCAGCCTCCGATCTCCTCTTCGTTGTGCCTCTCCCTTTCCAAGCCCACTATGCTTCAGACCAGTGGGTTTTTGGCAACGCTATGTGCAAAATAATGGCTGGCATTTATTACACAGGCTTTTATAGCAGTATTTTCTTTATAACCCTCATGAGCATAGACAGGTATATAGCAATTGTCCATGCTGTCTATGCCATGAAGATACGGACAGCCTCTTGTGGCATAATTATCAGTATAATCCTGTGGCTGGTGGCTGGCTTGGCTTCTGTACCCAACATCATATTCAACCAGCAGCTGGAAATCGAGCAGTCTTTGCAGTGTGTTTCCACATATCCCCCAGGCAACAATACCTGGAAGGTTGCTTCTCAGTTTGCAGCCAATATCTTAGGCCTCTTGATTCCCCTTAGCATCCTCATTTGCTGCTATGCCCAGATACTGAAAAACCTGCAAAAATGCAAAAATCGGAACAAGATCAAAGCGATCAAGATGATTTTCATCATCGTCATTGTTTTCTTCCTCTTCTGGACTCCCTTTAACATCGCGCTGTTCCTTGACTCTCTGCAGAGCATGCACATCATCAATGACTGTAAGGCGAGCTACCAGATAGCTCTGGCCCTGCAGCTGACGGAAACCATCTCCTTCATCCACTGCTGCCTGAACCCCCTGATCTACGCCTTTGCAGGGATGACATTCAAGGCCCACCTTAAAGGATTACTTCAGTCCTGTGTCTGTGTCCTCTCCAGCCCTGTGGGAGGTGCCAGGGCTGGTCAGCCGTTTCCAGCACCCACCCAGCTCTCTGGCTGCTCTGACAGCACAGGGTTCCTGTGAGCCCACCTGAGCTGCCTTCATCTGGTGTGAATAGTTGGCCTAAGGTCTGACATGGCCCTAGAGGTTGTACCATGTGTGCAGAATCCTCCTGGGAGGATCGCTATACTTATACCTCCTTTTGGGATATGCTGTAAACTGTGGCATAATAAGTGGCAACAGTAGTTTCCTAAGAGCACCAGTGTGTTTCTAAAGTGGTGACCTTACAAGCTTGCCACAGAATGACTTTTAATTAAGTTTTAGAGCTCTTTTAATACATTTCAGCAAGCAGAGTGCCTCCTCTAGCATTTATTTTCTCCTCTGATGAAAGCATCACTTCTGCCTCACCCTCAAATATGCTCTGCCTTGTGGAACGTATTCCATACCTGAATCCCTACACCCCTGTGACAGGCACAGGACACCCCTCTGGGAAGCAGAGAAGGGGTTACTTCACATTTCAGGAGGGAATCACCTCAGCCACTGTCACCATTGCCCCTTTGCTTCAGCTCCCAGATAAAGAGGGCCCTCAGCTCAGGGCCCTGTTGCTTTGCTATGGGACACTCCCAGGGGCACAGCCGGGGGTCCCTGGAGCTGCTGCCGCCTAAAGCAGCCTTTGGTGGTGATGTCTTCACAAATAGCAGAGCAATGCCTCCAGGTGCCCCCTATACTGGTCACTCATAGAGGCTCACACACTTGAATATATCATCATCAAAGCAGCTTGGTAGTCTGCATCATCACGAGAGGTGTGGGACCTCCAACTCTGCCCCCCAGCGCTCACTGCTAAATGCAAGCACCAAAAATTAGCATGTAGCATGTAGGCTCTGTCTCTTTTTCTATACATCATTATTTTCTGCCATTCTAGAAATGTTTTCTTTGAATAAATATATTAACTGAACCTTTTTGTCTTGGCTCCTGGAAGTCTTTCTAATGACATGCAAGTATAGATTAGGATAAGAACAATATGAACAATATTAAGAGGGACAATATTAAGAACAATTAAGAACAATTAAGAACAATATTAAGAACAATATGAACAATATTAAGAGGGACCCTGGAGCTCCTCAGCAAATAGCTCTTGCCTCCACTTTCCTGCTGAGAGATTTGTTCTCAAAATCCTAATAAAAATTCATAGTGAAAAAAACCCCAACATTTATGTTGAGGTAGTATTATAGTAAACAACATTTTAAAAGTTAAACAAGAGAGTACCTGAAACCAGGACAAACTCAACCTGGGTATTGTCAAAGATTATATTTTCTAGGGTAATAAAAATATGTTTTCTTAGTTTTACCTTTCCTTCTGAAAATATAATTGCATTTTTTATGTTTTCTAAATATTTCAAATACATTTCTAACCTCAGTGCCAAAATATTCTCATCATTAGCTACACAGTATAGAAAATACTTATTTCATTTATGATAGTGTAATTAATATTTCTAAATTTTATTCCTCAATGGACAATAAGTGTCCTGCAGCTCAATTGTCATATTGGTTTACTTCCCAGAAGACTTCTAAGTATTTAGAAACAAATCTCTCTGTTCGTTTATTTCTGTGGGGTTTTTGTACTATGCAGGCATTTTAGCGATAGGAAAGAAATATGGGCCAGGATCTCAGATCAGATATCTTTGTCCTGTGGCCAGAATTTTGGAGTTTCAATAAAAGTATTTATGTTTAAAATGTTCAGTGACATTTACCATCATCTTACATGTTGATGTTTCAGATGAAAATGGAAGGGAGAAGAAACAGAAGTTTTATATATATATTTTATATATATATATATATATATATATATATATATATATATATATATATATAATTTTTTAACTGATATTTTGAGAAGAAAGGAAAATGGAAATGTTTTCTGGCCAACTGTCACACTGACACTTTCCTGTTAACCTGCATCACTGCAGGTTAAATAGCACAAAACTTGGCTGTCAGGAGCAAAGTTGCCTCACTTCAGGGAAGAGACACAACTGACTGGTCAAAGAGGGGGCCCTGGTCCAGTCCAGACTGCATGGGATTTACAGCAATAAGGAGCTGCCTTCAAGGACATAAAACACCTGTGGAGAGTCAGCTGCACTTTTTTAGGCCTCTAGATTTCACAGCATGATCATTTCACACCTGGCAGCTTTTTTTGGCAGCTTTTTTCTGATTCAAATTGGGCATGAGTGAAACAGCAAAAAATTTGCCCTGATCACTTCATTTTCTCAACACTTGTGTAAAAAAGACCAAAACCAAACAAAGGCTGCTTTTAGGTGAAGATAGTATTCAAGGACTCTTTGGTTTTAAAAAACATATTTGGATCATATCTGCAATCTTGTTAGTCAGAAGAAATAATAAGGAATAAGGGATAAGGTCCCTAAATTCTTATTTTTCAACAATTGTGTGCCACACACATAAACCCAGCACAAATTGTTCATTTGCCTTGCTGAATTTCAAATTTCAAAAAGACAAGACAGTCAAAAGCACTAATATTTCAAAGATCTTGCCCCTTTTCAGGTTGTTATGTCATTCAAAGTGTTACACACCAGATATGCCCCAGACATGCACAATTCTCTCTACTGTTGTCACAAAATTCTCCAAGTGTGAACCTAAAATGTCTCAGAGAGACTCTTGCATCATTAAAACAGCAATGTTTTCAGCAGTAGACTAGGATTCTTTCTGGGTTACAAGACAAGGGACAAACTCTTTGGTTTCTATTATTTTCTTCTGTCCAGCTCCCACTGAAATCATGCTCTGTGTGTGTGTGTGTGTAATAGCAGAATTGAGCCCAAATGATATGTGAAGACTTAACCAAAGAAGTAAAAAATTAGCTTTTGCTGGGCTCACTGTAGAGTTTCTTCCTCTTCCTCCTCATCCTTGTCTTCCACTGCAGCTTTTGAAAGATTAGTATTTAAGAATTCAGAAGGGTAGATACAACCCCCCCCATCCTCTGCTCAAGGACAGTCAGTCACTCATCCATCAAGACTGCAGATTCTTGAGACACTTTTCCATTCAGAATGCTCTTTCTCTGTCTAACATGGCTGCAAAAAGGAGTAACACAGGTAGCTATTTTGCCCCTTTTATTTTATGAACTGCCGGAATAGAGACACAAACCATCAACCCAAATACTGATACGCAGCAGAGCTCTCAGAAGCATAGTGCTTCTTCTCTAAACATGTGAATGGAACACATGTTTAGAGAAGTTATGTGATGGAAAGAATCTACAGAGACGCTAAGCAATGTTCAAAAAATTTTGCACTTCTGTGCACTGAAAGAGCACTACACTGGTAGGAGCTGATTTTTTTCCATTATACTTTTTTTGTAGGTAGAAACTTGTTCAAAGACAATCTGCTTTCTTCTGCAGATGCAATGCTTTCCTTGGGATAAAGCAGTTAGCAGATGTACTACTTCCTCAGTTTGAAGGGTTCTAACACAGAGTAAAATTGGTAAAAGAACTTTGCCATCTGCTCATAACCAAACACAGTTTTCAAACAAACATAGTTTTCATGTGCTGAGGTGTTGTCAGTTGCAAATACCACTGCAAAAGCACCGAGAAACATTCAGGTTTGATGTCACCTGGATTTCCTAGTGCTGTGTCTGGTAATATGAATATATATGCCAAAATATCTAGCCCAATCTTGTTCCATTAAAGTAGTGGAAAATTGATCGCTATTCTGAAGAGGATGGAATATGGAAATTATTGCTGTTCATAAAACAGATCTCTTAATCTGTGCCTTAAGACTCAAAGGAGCAGTGGAAGAGTAAAAGGACTCATTACTCATAGAAAAGGACCTACACTACTAGGAAGTGTGTATACAACAAATTTAACTGTTATTTTTGTTGTTGTTATTATTATTATTTTTATTATTATTAACATGTTTGTGCCCAGAGTATTCCCGTCTTTTTTATTTTTTTATCTTTTCTTTCTTTTTCTGAGATAATTAGATCTGGACTAATAGTGACTGTTGGATTAGAGTGCTAAAAGTTCAATCATGTTAACAATAAATTCTTGGGATATGTATAGGGTGTTTCCTTTTGCCCATAACAGAATTAAGAGCATTACATTTGCCCCAGAGACAAGGCCAACTAGGCAGCATTGAGTACCTTGGTAGACAGGCTGGGTTGTGGCACTGCAAATTTATGAGGTATGGCACCACGTTGGGGAAACCCAAAACAGGCATGAGAGGGAATGTGCCTCACCCCGAAAGCCTGAGATTTCACAGGTTTGTATACAATAATCAATTTAAAACCAGGTTCTGTCACATGTTTGAGATCCACGACTGAATTCAGTGAGACAGGATGCAATAGTCATCGGGATTTGTATAACATTTTCCAGGGCTTGCTATCAGTGTTAAAAAGATCCAGATAAGAGCTTCTCCTCTTATTCAAGATCAAGATATAAAGAAGAGTAGGATCAGCCAAAATATTGC